GGGCTACTATAGTAACACAACCCATAATTACCCAAGGAAATTCACAAGTACAACAGCCGGGCTACTATGTAAAGACCACTCGATCCTGAAATTTGGAAGATAGGCCCTTCCACCATATTACAAAGACATCGGGCCCCAAACTGCTATCTGCTGACAATATAACGAACCCTACTATGCAGCAGGTAGGCTCCCAATGCAAGGAAACCATCATCCTAGAATTCCATCTAAACCCTAACCCCTAAACCCGGAACCCTAAATCCTAAAACCTAAACCCTAGGCGTATTTATATAGATCGAGCAGCTACAATATTATGCATTGCAGATATCTGGGCCCTTCGGGATTTGCTCCCCCAAAACCTGTACTACAATCCCTATTACCAAAACCCTATACCCAATGATTGGACATTCGGACATTTACGGGCCAATGGCCTTTTTACAGTCCTGTTCTTTCAAGTCGATTTTCCTGCGTGCGAAGTCGCACACATGTGCGCAGCCGGATCCGCCCACAGAGCCCATATAGCTACGAGCAGTAGCATCGACAAGAGAGATATATGTATGAAGACCCATGATACAGAAATTTCAGGGCACTTTCAATTTGGACTCTGTGGGAACACTGCCTGCAGCCTTTCAGAGACCCAACATGGATCAATGTCTCTTGACATTAAAGGGTTGAGGGTTTAGGCTATTAAGTGTTAGATCCCACAAGATCCTAAGCACCTGTATACACAGGAGACCCCCACTAAACCATTACAGCAATTCCTGGTATAATTCATCATTATTAAAACCTTACTATATACCCTGAGTCCTAAACCCTAAACCCACACAGAGGGATACTTAGGATTGGTTGGATCCAGCATCAGCCCTGAGCAGCTGTCGCCCAATGCAACAAATTACTAGCCAGCTGTAGCGTTGAAAGTCGTAGTCACATCTCCGCATCATCATCCGAGTGACCATCATGACCATGATCAGCTAGCAACCTTACTTGCAATGTGTCACAGACCCACAATCTGACAAGCCTCGCCTGTTGCCAAACCAAGTATTACACCCACAGGAATACACTCAACCCCCAGATCACCAAAAAGAGGACCACAAGAAGATTGCTACCAAAACATAGGTCATGACAAGTCTAGGGCCCATTAATTGTATATTACACTGGAGATCAAATTGTCTAGGGTGTACCACACACAGGTTGGGGGAGTGTATAAGCCGCCGGTATATCAGGATAGGATTTGAATGTATGGCGTTAGATGTCACTACAGCGCCAGAATCTGCCGAGACTCCAAGTCTCAAGTGATGGGGGTTTCAAGGACCGTTTGCAAATAGTGGGGCTTTCTGTACCACAGACTTTCGAATTATATAGACGAACCTATACGTATTTAATCCCTGAGGGTTATTACTATATAGGTGATCTACCATGAGCCCGAATATTAAATATCTAGAGTCCTGCATGTGAAAGACGAATATTTGAGCCGTGGATCCAGAGATAAAATCTCGAGAGAGTGGCCCTCTCGAGAGATCGCGAATGAACCATCGATGCGATACCTGAACTATAGCACCCCCAACCCACCTATTTTCTCCACATTAAAACCCTATATAGGGGTCCAAGTGCCCCCAAACCCTATAGCTAGACTAGAATCCCTAGTAACCGAACCCCATGCAGTTGTTGGATATTGGATCCTCATAAGGGCAGTAAGAACATTAACCACTATTTCGCACTCCAGAAGGTTCGTCGGGGATGAAGAGAGCATAGTACATTCATGATAAGGCATTTTGATAAATTCGACCGGGCACCGACCATCTTCCCGTTCATGTCTTCAGACTGGAACGTGTGATAATGTCTCCAATTCAGTTCTCGGTTGCAAAGCTGGAGATTGTAAGGGCTTTTGATTAGTGTTTACAAGAAGGCTTGCCTCTGTAACCCCAAGTAGCATTACTGGTACGACTGTTGTAGAGTAAATATAGTGGGGCAATGGCTCTCCATGGGACCTCTTAAGGGTTCAGCTCACGGGCCCTAGAATGCATCGCAAATTGTACGTACACTACGACATGTACCCCAAATTCACTAACACACGATAATGGTACATGAGGGCCTGACTACCCAAACCTTATTGGTATACTTCCCCTTATGCCTCCTATCTGTTCTTATTCTGACGCATCTTTAGTTGCCCTTTACTACCTATACTAATTCAAATGGGCAGCTTTCTGTCGATGAGAAGAACATGAGTTCTTGCAGAGCCTGAGCTGCATCACAAAATCCTAAACCCTAAACCCCAAACCCTAAAGCCTAAGGCCTAAACCCTAAAATCCTAAAGCCTTAATACCCACCAGTACCTAAATCAGCCAGGTGAGACCTTGAGAAAAGGAAGAAATAATGAGGAGCCCAAGCTACGTGAAGTTTTGGCCGTAGTTGGAAGTAGCCGAGACCAGCATCCAAACATCTTGTAGCTAGAAGCCCATAGGCAGTGAGAGCAGCGTTGCCCACGTAGTTGATGCGGTCGGCATGATCATCACCCAAGTAGCGCGGTGCTCGCTCAACCACATTCATGAGCTCAGCTAGGAAATGCCTCAGGTGTTGATCTAAAAATAACAGAGTGAAGTTCAAGGCTTGGGGCATGAATTCGGGAGAGCCCAGAACCTTGCACTGAATGACCAAGGGTTATAAGGGCGAGAAGACAAGCATCATGCACTGAGCCAGCAGTACCATCATTGGCTTGTCTTGGCACTGATCATCATTCACCAGTGTGCACACCACATCGGCCAACCATCCCGTGACTACCCGGGCCTCAGCCAGCTCACTCAGCTACATCCCAGACCAGTGACTAGTGTACGTTATATATCCCTCAGGGCCAAATAAAGTACTCAAAAATCACAAAACTTCCTCAAACCCGTACCCAAACCCCCTACTACCGCAACCCACCTACGTAACACTTCGACCCTTGGTGATGTAGACAAGTGGGAATCGTACACAGACCGTGGGCCCCATAAACAATACAAAGCACACCTCCAAACCTACACCCTAAACCCCAATAAACCCTAATTGATCGAAATGAAGACAACCATCCAAGGCACGTTGTAAGCCTTCGCTGCCAGCTCGACCTCTCCAGCTTGGCCACGAAGCATCTTGCACTGGAACAGCGGCTGTGAATGCCTGAAGCAGGATGGTGAATTTTGAATTTCGGGCAAGGGGTTCAAGGGTCAGAGTTCAGTTGGTGTGGATAGAAGGTATACTGGTACGGGAAAGTTTAGTCACAGCTCTATTTTCTCTGGTTTGAAACAAGCTACTTGATCTTCCTTTCACGGCACCACTGCCCAAAGTGGGCATAGGCATTCTTGAGGCGCTGCGCCTTTGTAGTACCCAGCCAGACATCCTCCTGGGAAGCACCAGGCAAACACGTTAACGTTTGGGATGAGGGTTAGCGTTTAGACAAGTTGGGGTCCTTGGGTTCAGGGGTCATACACTTGGAAGGCTTTAACTTCTCGGGTATACTTGGGGTACTGCCCCCCCTCAGTAACAGTTGGATAATAAATATATCATGGTTATAGTATATAGCCCTTACTAAGATCCCTAATATAGACTGTTACTGGGCGGGGGCAGTACCCAAGGTATAGTACCCTAAACCCTAAACCCTAAACCCATCATTGGACGACTTCTTCTCAAACATTATCCTGCAGCAGCAGTTCGACGCAGCCGCCGCAAGCAAATATTAGTATCCCCAAATTTATGCTGCGCAGGGCGCACCACCGCAACATGCGGTGGTCGAATCCTTGAAGTTGCAGAAGAAAACCTCAGTTGGATTCCAATAACATGTACAGTACTATATCCCAGAGGGTCCATGTACCCAATACTTAGGTACTTGGGATTTGGGTAATAGTAATCTTAGTACAGGTTTTGGGCAAGTATATGATTATTAGCTACTTGGACCCTTAGGGTATGGAGGAGATTTGCGAATGAGTTATTGGGCCTCATCCCTGAACCGTTGACCCTAATTCGCTTGATGACTGGCATTTCCAATGTTTCCTGAATATTCTGGCCAGACACTGCTCTGATCAGGATGCATGATGCACTCATCCTTGAAATTTTGGAAGCTTCGCCTAGGCTCCTGCTCTAACACAGAAGGTGATCGGAAGAACGTAGTCTTCTGCGCAAAGCAATGATGGCAAAGAGCCGTTGAAGCCCATCCACAGCGGAGCCCCAGCCATTCCTGCACAAAGTCCATCAACACAATAACACTACACTGCAAGTTTGTGCATATGAAGTCAGTGCATCATTCAAAGAGCCTGTCTTGTTTGGTGCGGCGGTTGGGTGGTTGGGAGTTGGGTGGGTGTGTGGGCGGGCAGGCGGGTGGGTAGGGGGCTTGATCACTGTCCGTCCCTCGGATTTCCGGAATGGCCATAGGATCACTCGGATCAGCCATCCGTTGGGGCTGTATAATTCCAAAAGCTCAACCCTCCATCACGGCTGGGGTATCACCGTTGGAATTTCAGCTGGGTGAAGGACAGCCAGTTGGCATGTTGTAGCCCTCTTTCCTTTTGAGAAGTGGATAGGATTGACGGCTGAACGCCTCCTCCGGTCCCATGCCACGACACTTCTCGACATGGTCCCGTGCCAATCCCACATCCCGCAGCCACTCAGGCATGAAAAGATAGCCTGGGCTGCCCCCGGGAGGGCAATCAAATCAAGCAACACAACAGGCAAGGGGGGGAAGGATTGGGAGGCCCTCTGGGTAGGGGGGCTTTGGGGTTTGGTTGGGTACTGTACATGTCTGTCCCTCGGATTTCCGGAATGGCCATAGGATCACTCGGATCAGCCATCCGTTGGGGCTGTATAATTCCAAAAGCTCAACCCTCCATCACGGCTGGGGTATCACCGTTGGAATTTCAGCTGGGTGAAGGACAGCCAGTTGGCATGTTGTAGCCCTTTCCTTTTGAGAAGGGGATAGGATTGACGGCTGAACGCCTCCTCCGGTCCCATGCCACGACACTTCTCGACATGGTCCCGTGTCAATCCCACATCCCGCAGCCACTCAGGCATGAAAAGATAGCCTGGGCTGCCCCCGGGAGGGCAATCAAATCAAGCAACACAACAGGCAAGGAGGGGAAGGATTGGGAGGCCCTCTGGCCCTGGCCAGGGTGTGGGTAGGGGGAGAGGGAGTTGGCCGGCAGCATGTCCTCACGCATATACATGTGCACAAGTATTAGTATTACCCCTGGCACCTTGTAAAACTTCCAATCCGCCCGAAGTTCTGTGACAGGAAAACGTACCACATTGGCATTCGCAGTCACAAGAGGTGTAGCGGAGCACTGGGGAGTGCAGTCTGGAAGCTCATAGCTGCCATCATCGCCCAGGATTGGACGCTCCGGAAAGAAGCCGAGCATGGCCGCATTCAGTGACGCCACTACCTTGCAATACAAGCGTAGGATCCCACAAGTACTGGAGCATGTAGGGGCCTTAAGGTTTCCCGGGTTTGTCTAGTGTAAAATTATTTATGTAAGTATCCCCTATATAGGAACTTGGGATGCTTTGGGAATTTGGGGTCGAAAGTGCATATCTGTGTGAGCTAGTTCGAGTGACTGGAACTGTAGCTGGGATTCACAACATAGGATGACAAGGATCTGGTCGCATGTAGGCTTGGATCGTCTCAAAGCCGGTACTGTACGCCTGTTGCGCCCATGAACAAAAAGGCCCCCCAGTGTACCCACGGCACCTGGCAGCAATCCTAGACCCTGGACCCCCTATCTCTAAGGGTCCAAGTACCTGGCCGAATACTCATATACTCCCCCAAAATGCATTATCACCAAAAGCCTAGTTACCCACTTCTCGTACTTGGACCCTTAGGGGCTAAATCCTCAACAAGGTACATGATAACACTTGCTTGAGCTAGGTAGAAATGTGCACTGTGCTATGTGCAAATTTTCACACAAGCTTGGGCCTCGCGTATAATGAAGAGCGGGAAATGGGATCGCATGCTGAAAGTCTTCTTCGACAGCACGAAGCCAAAGTAGACACATGTCAACTTTTCGCCCATTTTGTTAAATTTGACATCATCCCCGTACAGAAATGCAGGCACATGGAGACCAGCTATGTTAGCACATGGGTGTTGCCTTGCCCAAGCTGTGTGCTCTATGATATGGGCCCAGTACCTGTGGACCTCTTCTCCATCCAAGGCGTCACCCAGCATGCCGTTGGCATGCAAGTAATGCAGAAGCTCGTGCGGTAGAATGACAGGCAATTTCCTGCATCAGCCAACACAAGCGCATGTCCCCCATTCATGTGTGGACAAACACATAAGCATCTTCATTAGTACCCCAAAGAATCCTGAAAAGTATAACTATAGAAATTTTGTTTCTATACTAGGATCGGTTAGTCCACTTGGGTAAGAATCCTCAATATAGGTACTTAGGACTGCAAAGGTTCCGAATCACCACTGAATCATCCGTAAGAGATTGTCGCGTGGGAACCTGCACAGAAGCCATTGGCACCTGAGAGCCGTTCCAAAGGATGCCAAGTACCTATAACACATGAGGGGGATAGTTTATGTATTTATAATCCCTACAATCCATAACTACCAGTGCACAGGTACTTGGCATTCTTTCAGAGGGTAAAGAGAAAACCTTCAACCTCTACATAAAAATCAATGAACCCTCCTGAATATGAAACAGAAGCCACGCTTCTGACCCCAAGTTCGAAGTGATTGCACGCATAGCATCCCGTTCAATGTTGGAAGGCCACTTGCCATCAGTCCCAGCATGTCGAAGCCTGTCACCCAATGGGCCCAAGCTTCCGCCCCTCGAGGACACTTCCTAGCAAGGTCATTGGCAATTAGTAAGGGCAGGGTCAGTGGGGAGGTTGTTATAGATCCCGAAGGTAGCTAGGTTTCTTCGGGATAGCATGGCCTGAATGGTAGCAAAATCTGAAAGGTTTAGTGAGTCAGGTTTTCAACATTGCCAAAACATTCTGGAGCCCAAGGCAGCCTTGTGACCCTTCTGCAGCATCCGGACAGCCCCTGCAAAGCTGAGGTCCTTCACAGGGAAATTTGCTAGGAACGCAGCACCACGGCTTTGAACGTCGTAAGGTTACTTATAGGGTGTTAGGTTCATGGAGAAGTTATAACGCGGTTGCCTTATGTATTCAAGAGGGTAGAACAGAAATGATAACACCTGTCCCCCTTGCCAGTGCACTTCAGCACATGCCGAGAAAGAGGTCCCAGTGTGTTTCCAGAACCTGCGAGGGCAGACTGCGGCCAATTACATAAGCTACGAAAAGCACGTGTTGCCAAACAATCGATCCCAATTACCTATATAGGCCCGTAGCTTTATAAATTCAGATAGTGCATTGCATCATGCATAGGATTGTTACATCCATATATATACATATATTGATATGAGATTTGGCTAAGTAGTACAACTTTAGAGCTAAAGGTACTCCGGGTTGTTTGCGATGCATGAGATTTTGCAGCACGGCTTTCAGATCTAGAGGTGACGAGGCCAGCTGGTCATGCAGCTGACCCGTAACAGATTTGTAAACCTACGCAGGTTCCGCCCACGTGGTGAGTCCCAAAAGTGACACAGTTCACCAGTGCACAGCACATATGCACTTGGGAGTCAGGCTCCCCACATTAAAAATCTGAGCCCACTCAATTTGGTTGCATGTTGTCAGGGGTAGCCCTATCCTCAAACTTTCTGAGTAGCAGACCAGAGAGCCCAAAGTACCGACATACTACAGAAACATATTTATTAAAGTATGGCCCCTATACTACAAATATGATTACGGGGCTGCTAGGCTAGCTAGGGCAGTCAGTACCTAGGACCCTCTGGGCAGGTGGATCCAAGCCTATATGGTAGGATTGCTAGTCGAAAACACACAACCAGATCAGCGCTCTGTGCTTCTACAGCACAAGTGAATGGCCTGTGTCCCGACAGACTCATGATGCACAAAATGTGCAAAAGGATCACCCTAGGCTTTTGCTTTCGACTTTGATTTCGCCTTCGCCTTCGCCTTGCTCTTTGGGTTCTGCTTCGGTTTTGGATCTGCCTTAGCAGTTCATACCAGTATAAAGAATCCTATTCTGACAAAGCAGGCTTTCCATATCACAATAAATTGCCATTATGTGTTATGGGTTTTAGTATGCCCAAGAATCTGGAGGTGCTTAGGATCCCATCGGTCAGCAAAACACAAACCACACCCCTACATTGAATGCCCGAACAGCACTGATACAAACAGAGTGCTGAAACCCTACACCCCTAAACCCCAAACCCTGACCCCTTGAACCTGTAAACCCTAAACCCTACACCCTAAACTAGTCCTAAACTCCCAAACCCTACACCTGTACCCTTAACCCCTAAATCCTCAGCACGGCAAACTTGATGAATGATTTATTGCAAGCTTCAAGCTTCTTCTTGATAGTCAGAGCTGATGCTGCGTACTCTTTTACTGCTTCTGCCAACTCATCCATACGCTGCTGCTGCGCATCGACATTGTTCTCAATAGCATCATCCTGCTACAGACACATGTACACACCTTAAGTAATTGTGAATCCTGAGCCGATCAACTAGCTACATATTCTGTAGCCTGTGGCAAGTATCCTGACTAACATTACGGGCACCTGGGATCCTTTGGGCCCTAGAGGTGTCCGCAGTGTCCACCTACCTGAAGCGCAATTAACCACGCCTGCAACTCCCCAACCGCCTTCTCCAAGGCTTCGCGATGGAGCTCCAACTCGGCAGTATAGCCGTTGCAGAGAGGCGCAGACCTGTGCAAGGGTCTGGTTGCATGAGTGGGTTGCTGTAGCAGGATCACAGCTTGGTGTCAATGAATCATAGGACTCAGCAGCCAAGAAACATTTTGTTCGGTTTCTCTGCAAGCTGTTCCTTGAGACCATCGATCTCTTTCTTTTTGTCGGCAACAATTTTGAGCTTCGCTTGGATCTGCTTTGCGAGACCTCCTTTACCTGATCGCCTGAGCTTCTTTAACTCTTCCTCTTCCTTGGCTAAGTCCTCAGCTGACCCACGTGTGGTGAGTCCAGCTGGCCGCGGCAGGACAGATCGCTGACCGTCCTGACTGGATCCGGGGGCACCAGCCAGCTGGAGAGCTGTCGGCCTGTTTAAGCTTTAGGGTTCGGGGTTTCTGGGTTTAGGTTTAGGGTTTAGTATGTTCTAGGGTCTACACGACAGGGCTTGAAGGCTTGGCACAAGTAGCGGGTCTGCAGGATTTGCTTTTTTCGTGTCAAGTAGCAAGATGGCTCGTGTCTGGTCACCATCCAACTCCAAAATGTTCTCCAGCGTAGCCTCCGTCGCAGTCTTGTTGCGATCTGTCACTTTTGCGGAGTCGAACACTCTCACCAGTTCCCACTCCTTAGCTATGTCCCCCACCTATGTCATCAAAGACTGCCTTATTAAATGGTCATGTAAATTTACAGAACGACATGCTAGATTTTGGGAGTCCAGATACCCATCAATGATACTGCATTCAAGATTTGGGTAATAGGAATTCGGGTATAGATTTTCAGGGAGACTATGAGTATAATAGGTGCTTGGACCCTTCAGGCCACCTAAAATTTTTCTGGATACACAGAGGAAGATTCTTCGGACCCGGGAAGGTCTGGGTGAGCCATGATGTATGGCAGCACATTTGGCCTAGGGTTTTTGTCGAGGTCCTCCTGCAACAGTCTCTTTTCGTCACGAATGATCTTTGCGGTCACGGCGCCTTCTTTCGCCTTGAGGTCCTTGTACCGAATGTAACATTCAGTACTGTCCACCTCTTTACTGTGCTTACTCGAAGCACGGCAGCACAAGGTAGAGGTCATCCAAGATCCATTGCAGCGGAGGTACTCAAGGAATAAATCATCAAGTCTCCGAGAACCTGATTACAACATTACGTGGACCGTTTGACACATGTACTATATCACTAGTACTTCTCTAGTCTAGCTGCACTTAAAACGGAAGTGGCTCACCGTTAAAGCAAGGGGCCATTCTTGGTCTGCTTCAGCGCATCCACGACCTCCGGCGGACACGCTTTGCCTGAACGTAGCTTTCGGGGTATCTTTCGATATTTGAAGGGCATAGGAAAATTTCTTTCAAGAATCCATGGGTCAAGGGGTTTATTATATTATGACATCTTAGAGACTTCTCCGCTCTAGGCATATTACGTTAATGTTTGGTTATGTTTCCTCGGCTGTGCATGGTATTGCAGGCAAGGCACTCTTGGTGCTTCGGGAGAATCTCATGTAAATGTTGTGTGCTATTCGCAGGATTCGTTCTTCTTCCGTTTCGCCATCTTTCAGTTGCAAGGAGGCCTCCTGCAGTAGCTTGGGTTTAAAGTTTCTTAGGGTTTACCCATTAAAGAATCAACCCCCAAGTATAAACCCTAAAACCAAAACCCTAAGTCCTAAACCCTAAACCTCCTTTGTGCATATATGGAATACAAAGTAGGAAGAGCCACTGATCATGTAATCCACCAAACTAGTCAACATCAAGCAGACTCCCCTCTCCTGCAACTGGAAGGATTCGGCACGATTCAGAAGAATCTCCTGAATCACACCTGCTTGGACGGCGGTGCGCACAGCGCCCTGGCTCTTACCTGGCAGCGGCCCTGGGGTCTCAGTTGGCATTGCCTGGGTTTGCAGGGAACTGGTTTCGCCTGGGGTCTCAGTTGGCACCGCCTGGGTTTGCAGGGAACTGGTTTCGCCTGGTGGGGTCTCAGTTGGCATTGCCTGGGTTTGCAGGGAACTGGTTTCGTTTGGGGTCTCAGTTGGCATTGCCTGGGTTTGCTGGGAACTGGTTTCGCCTGGCATCTC